CTCTCTCTCTCTCTCTTTCTTTCTCTCTTACTTTTTACACATTGTTAACGAGCCTTTGTCCCTGTTATAACCGATTGGCTCCAATGAGGCCCTGTTATATTGCCCATAACTTTTAATGGAGACAAAGAATAGGAAAAAAATGGGGATGAAAAAAACCCTTGTTATTAGCGGCTCCCTGTTATGACCGGGCTATATAATATATGGTTTCCACTGTGTAGGGTTTTGCTTTCTTCTACATTCCTGGAGCTTCTGGTGGTTGACCGCGTTTGTTTGTTTTGCTTGTTTGTTTGCTTGTTTGTTTTGTTTGTTTGTTTGTTGTTTTTTGTTGTTGTTTGGTTGTTGTTTTTATTTCAGATTAAACCCATGTCTTTCTCTCGACAAGCTTGCGGCACACACTTTCTTGGACTTTGCTGAAACTTGTCTAGTACTCCTTCCTTTGTGGGGCTTGTCGATGTCCATGGTCCTCCGGAACGCTTCTTGAGGGTCCTTTTAAACGTACAGTTAATTCATCGACTAAATGACAATTTAACCGACGGGCGCTAGATCTGGGTCATCGTTAAACTGACAGTTTGTCGACGAGAGAAGTTCCATTTAGACGTACAGGATTTTTTATCGTTAAAGTGTCAGTCCTTGACGAAACACACCGAAAATAAAAATAGAAAAAAAGAAAAAAAAATATAACTTCTCAATCCGTCATTAAATTGTGTTCCCCGCATGATTTTGACTAATTTTGGGTGTTGATCACGAAAAGTTTTTCTTTTGTAATTTGACCAATATTTAGGAACATTTTGGAGTGCATTTCCAACTCCGCCTGGGGCAACATCAAAGAAGCGCTCCCTCGTCGTCATGACTTCATTTCGCCGGCCGGAAAATATCTGCGTCGCCTGATATCTGGTGGTTGGACTGAGGGTTGCTCTTTTCCACGCTCGAAAAATGTTGACCAAGGGAGGTCGCTGGCCTGGCTCCACGAAGGAGTTTCGGTCCGAAAAGTGGCAAGATGTCTTGCAATGATTCACTCAGTTATTTTAAGGATGAGGGATGGAGTTTCACAACCAGAAGTGTGGGAGAACGAATGTGGTCGGAACCGCTATAAAGCGTACAAGGCAACAAGATCGCTGTCCTGACGACACCAGCTCGCGATCCATAGCCCACAGCAACGTCCAAGCGAGTGCCCAGACCACAAGGAACGCCCTAAATCAAATTTGACTCCGTTCAAGACAGCCAAAAGTCCGTCTGCCCCTAATCCGGGCCTACGACATCGTCCGACGCACCTTCGATAGACAAGTCAACAGTGGCCAAGTGTGCTGTTCATAGATGAGTCCAGATTCACCTTGTTCTTCAGTGACGGCGTGATTCGAATCTGGAGACGCTCCAGCGAACACTTTCAGGATGCCTGGACAGAATCATAGGGGAGAGCGGGGAGGCCTTGGACATGGGGAGACTTCGGACACGTCAATTCTCGTTGGACTATTGACAGTACACATTTTGTCACTGAATCACATAATGTGTAAAATGAGGTTTAGCTTGCTGTGTTTTTTACACCCAACTGAGCGACATCTTGCAGCTACTGTGAAGGTTGTGTTTTTGACAAGGGTGTATATCTACGTTTTCACACTTCAGTTTGTAAGGTTTTACACGTCAGAATAATACAGCAATCCTTTCACAAATTTGTGTACCTGTGCTCTATGGTGTCTGTTACGTATCAAATTCATAAGATTAAACCAAGCTTTCATGATGTCAGTTTCATGAACATGTTTCCTACACTACCCCCCTGTAGGGATACTTGATGCAGGGGGTGGGGTGACTTCTTACACTGTCCAAAGTCTCCCAACGATTAATTAAAGAGAAGTTGGAATCAGTGTTTATGGGAAAATTGAATTTAAAAAACGTACACCTTTCTTGTTGTATTTCTCGCACTCAACCATGTCAAGGAAATAGAGCCCCCAGTAGAAAGAGCCCTTAATTCCTATAAACATGAAACTCGCTATGCTCACCCTTGTTGATGACTCATTGCCTTTGCGTCGAGCAGAAGC